TTCTCCTCGTCCTCCTCCTTCTCATCATCTTCATCATCCCCCTTCTCCCCCTCCACCCCTCCCCCTCCTGCTCGTCATCCTCCTCCTCTGCCTCCTTCTCACCCTCCTTCTCCTCCTGCTCCTACTCTTCCTCCTCCTCCTTCTCTTCCTCAGCCTCCTCCACCTCCTCCTCGCTCATTCTTCTCCTTCGCGTCCTCCTCCATGGAACCGCGCCCTCGCGCGCGCGGAATGCGAGATTGCCGCGCCTGCGTGCCATTCATGTATATCGCAAAGAGGCTCTGCGAGTTCCCGGCGGTAGCCGAGGTTGACGGTGCACCGCCGGCCCCCAGTGGTAGGTTTCGCAAGACTGACAACGTCGAGTGCCCCAGAATTCTTTGCATAAGTGACAATGTTACAAAAAACGCCGGGCGCCTCGAATTTTTGTGAAGAGAGCAGTCAGCATTTCAACGCCTGCGTCCAATTCGACCCAACGTGCGTCTCGCGGACGCATGCCGAAATAGTTCGCACTGGCTGAGGGGAGCAACTCCTGTCGCGACACGGGCCACTCGACCGTTTCCCAACGCGTAGTAGGTTGTGCCGCATTTGCCCGTGGGATTCCCAGGCTCGAAGCTGGATATTTGTCCTCCAAAGACGAACTTGAAGTTCATGAAAACTCAGTTATGTGGTGCTTGCAAGATTTCGAAATATTAACGCATATATGTTCGAATCTAACAACATCATACTGACGATTAATACGGCTGTGTTGACAGCTGCAGTGCCTCTATTCGTGCATCTGCCAGAAACCAACGCCAAACATATATTTGTTTTGAAGAAATTGAGGATCTTTGGAAACATGCCCAGACATCGGAAGCCAGCGAGAAACAATCAACCAGATTACCGCCGGAATCTCGTAGAGCTCTTAACGTGCGTATGAGTGCGAAAAGTTGGCGTGGGGTGAAGCTAAATGGCTCTCAGAATTCAACAGGCCCACGCTCCATAACCTGCGGCTGGATCCACAAGCTCCTGCCGAAGCAGATTGATGATTCTTATCATGCTGAATCCATCGGTGCAAATCAGAGCCGTGTAGCTTGCTTCATGCTCAGGTCAGTGCAGAACTATTTCCATATTGAAAAATTTATCCCGACAGCCGACGGTTGCTTCGCGTCTTCTGACAGAGATTTTGCAGCTACGAACACAAGCGCGCAATGAGCCACTACAGGGAATAAGAATCGGGTTCTCAAAACGAACTTTCAAATCTCTCGCGCAAAAAGCCGACTCCAGGTTGACGCATTGTCCGCCCGGGCCGGATGGGCAGATTAGCTCTACTCAATTCGAGCTTCAGGCAAGCTACAGAGCTGGGAAGCAGACTGTTCGAAGGGCGTGATCACGAACGCTGGTCTGCAGTTTCGAGACGAACTCGAGCTGTGGACAAGCAAGAAGCTGTGAAGAGCATTTCTATGAAACTGCACTCGCGCGCGAAATGCGACATTCCCGCGCTCGCATGCCATTCATGTATATGGCAGAAATCTCCACGAGTTCCCGGCGGTAGCCAAGGTTGACGGCTTACCGCCGGCTCCCAGTTTGGATTGGTTCGACGAATATTGTTTGAGAGTTCACTATTCGTTTCATTCCCTGAAGTTGATGATGGTGCGTTTCATGGTGAAAGTCTTAGGGCTCTAGCTGCAGCACAGCTCTCCAAAAATAGGAGTAACCCTCGGCCATCGGGATGAAATCACCCAGACGATAACGGTTCGTGCATTTTTCTGAAATGCACCTGTAGTAGGTTATGGCGCGTCGGTCTGTCGAACTCGTTGGTTCGTAGCTGTAATTTCACACAGTTGACGGAACCAATTTGGTATAAAACCGAAAAAAGTCAGCTGGTTGACGGCGCCGGCTCTCATTTTGCATCATTTGGTTCTTCACTAGAATTCGATATCAAGGCCAGCTAAGCAGCTCAGATGCACACCGATCGACAGGGAATTCTGAAGCAATCTAACGTATCTAGATGCTTGAGATCGGTCTGCTACCAGAACTGCAATGCACCCTTTCATTTTTATGAGAGACGGTGAGATTTTGACGCGCCTGCGCGGCCGACTCGCGCGAGCGGCCCGCGTGATGGTATTCGACAAACGGCGGCGCTGGGCGGCGACGAGGCAATGACGATGGGGGTGACGGCTAGCACTGAGTCGTCACACCGGTCAACCAGCTTGAACGACGGGGCTCGCACACAACCGCCAGACCAGCCGACGGCCCGGTTCATTGGAACAGAAATCCACCAATCCGGCGTGTGAGTTTCTGAGAGCGTGGGCTTGAGCTCGCCAAGCTTCGGTCCCGGCTCTCGTTCCCGGTCCTGGCCTCCTCTTCCTCCTCCTCCTCCTCCCCCTCCTCCTCCTCCTCCTCCTCCTCCTCTTTCCTCCTCCTCCTCCTGCTCCTCCTCCTCGTCCTCCTCCTCTTCCTCCTCCTCCTACGCCTCCTCTTCCTCCTTCTTGTCCTCCCTCCTCTTCCTCCTCCTCCTCCTCCTCCTCCTCATCCTTCTTCTCCTCCTCCTCCTCCTCCTCTGCCTCCTCTTTCTCCTTCTCCTCCTCCTCCTCCCGCTCCTCCTCCTCCCTCTTCTTTCTCCTCCTCCTTCCTCCTCCTCCTCCTCCTCTGCCTCCTCCTCCTCCTCCTCCTCCTCCTCCTCCTCATCAGCATCGTCATCATCAGCAACATCATTAGCATTTTCATCTTTATCCTCATCCTGCTCCTCCTCATCATCAGCATTATCATCATCAGCAGCATCAGCATCAGCATCAGCATCGGTACCAGTATCAGCATCATCATCGTCAGCAGCAGCAGCAGCAGCAGCGTCATCATCATCATCATCATCATCATCATCATCATCATCATCATCATCATCATCATCATCATCATCATCATCCTACTATTGCTTTCTCCTCCTCCTCTTCTTCCGCATCAGCATCATCATCATCATCATCATCAATACCACCACCATCATCAGCAGCATCAACATCAGCATCATCATCAGCAACATCATCATCATTTTCATCTTCATCCTCATCCTGTTCCTCACCATCATCAGCAGGATCAGCATCAGCAGCATCAGCATCAGCATCAGCATCAGCATCAGCATCAGCATCATCAGCATCAGTACCAGTATCAGCATCATCATCGTCAGCAGCAGCAGCGTCATCATCAGCATCATCATCATCCTATTATTGCTTGCTCCTCCTCCTCTTCCTCCGCATCAGCATCATCATCATCAACACCACCCCCATCATCATCATCATCATCAGCAGCAGCAGCATCAGCATCATCATCAGCGTCAACATCATCATCATCATCATCATCATCGTCCTCATCATCGTCCCCATCCTCGTCCTCATCTTCGTCCTCATCCTCGTTCTCATCTTCCTCCTTCCTCCTACCTCCTCATCCTGCTCTAGCTGCTGTTCTGCCTCCTCCTCGTTCGAGGTCGCCAACGTCGTCGTCGTCGTCGCTGGCGTCGTCGTGTCAACCACCAGCATTTGGAGCGCCTCGGATCGGCAGCACTGGCCGGAGGCCATTCAAATAAAACCCCTGAATGCAATCACTGTTTCGGGAAGAGAGTGTCCGAAGCGCTACAATGAACCCCACTCCTGGGTATTCCCTCAGTGCCGCTTTCGTTTCCTGACGTGATTAAGAGGTGACCTTCGAATTTGTAGACCCACAATCATCGGCAGTCTGTCTCTCGGAGACATATCACAGGGATGTCCATGTCTCTGGTATGTTGCATTATCTCATGCAGCTTGTGTGGACGATCTTGGTGAATGCCTTGGACATTGCAAGATGCGACTTTGCCGCACTAGAGTGGTCAACATGAGGACAGCCCGCTTGCCAACAGAAAACAGCATTCGTGTCGGCGAAGCGCACCGAGTCCGTATTCCGGACGTGGCCGCCTTTCTTGCCTTTCCCATTTGCCTCTGCATATCGTCTTAGCGTGTTGGTAGTCCGCATGGCAATATTTTCCACGTCTGGACTTCGCGAGATCTCGCCCTAATTCTTCCACGCCTTTCCCAAATTTGGGTTGATCGTATTGTTGACAGTGGGTGTTGATCCATTGGATATGTTGTTGATTTGTATTGTTTTTTATGTATCGGCACGGACATTGTTTTTTGAGTGAACACCCCCATTCCAGACCTTGCTTCCGTAAACCGAACAATGAACCACTAGGATTACTTGGTTCGCGCTTCCATGCAATCTTATCATTGCGTGTAGTGTGCGGTTGGCCGAATCTATAAGTTCAATTTGCAAGCTAATTTTTTTGGACAACACTTCACCATACATACGTTGTTCAATGAACCTTATGTGAAGATGTCGATGTGTTCTTGCGTTCTGATGCGCTCGAATTGGCCCCTAAAGAGTCCACAGCTGTACCCATCTCTGGCAAATGTCCCAACCCTCCAGCCACCGCATTACATTCTCAGTCCCAGCCTGCTGTCAAAGCAGAGAATTGTTTTTCTGACTCTGGTTGTTCGATTTGCAACGGCTTGGCGATGCTCCTGAGGTCACCGATGGTGTCTGGGATCCCGTTCTTTCCAAAAGGTCGACCAGTGTGGTGAGTTCGTCAATTTCCGTCTGGATCGGTTCCTCTTCGTCTGGGCAGCAGCTTGGTGGGGATGAGAGATACGAGGAGGAGGATAAGGAGGGCGTGCCCGAAAAAAAAACACGAGCTTGCCCCTGCTTCGGTTCCTACCACCGCAACACCTGTCCGCGACGTGAGCAAAGATACGCGTAGGAGGGGAGCGAGACAGGACGCCGGAGGGGGGAGAGGAGCCACGAGAGGGAACGAGACCGATCCGAGCGGTCAGTTTCCGAGCCCGTGGTGCCACTGTCCCGTGGTCCCCAACCCGTGTAGCCGCGACGTTCGAATCTTGGTTCTTGATGTCGCCCATTGCCCCGCTGGAGCCCGAGCGCGCTCCAAGTGCGCGCACACTTCTAGCTCAGATGTTGGTGCTGGCGTGCGTGCGAGCAAGCGGGTCTGCAGCCATCTTGCTCAACGGCGGGCCTCTGGTCGGCAATGGTTGGCGGCGCCACGGGGTTGGGCACTGGAAGCGTTGCTGCGAACGGCGTCACATTTCCAAGTCGTGGGATCTGCTCGGAGGACAATGCTGCACTGCTGGATGGGCGCATCTCCGCGCAGCACACGGAGACCAGACTTCTGCTGGCGCAGTATGAGGACCTCAGGCAGCATGACGCAGTGACCCTCGAGGCTCTTCCTGCAGGCTGCAGCGAGCCCGCGGACGCGGCTGCTGGAGCGGAGCCAGAGCGCTTCACGTTGCTGGCGTCTTTCCAGCACAGTGCACCCATTGCCGCCGTGGCGGTTAGCACGGACGACGTTGTCGCGACTGCTTCTTGGGATGGCCTGGCGACGTTCTTCGACATCCCGAGATGGCACGACTCTGGTCGGTTCGACGTGGCATCAAGCAGCGGCGTCACAAATGGCATGGACACAGCCTTGGTGGCTGCAGGCTTCGTACCGACGTCGCCTGAGGTGATTGGCGTCGCGGCTGCCTGCCAAGTGCAGCTTTGGCACCTTGATGCTGGCAACTTTTCGAAGCAAGCGGTGCTTGAAAAATCCCAGAGCTCGGCGCTAATCAGCAGTATGTGTTTCCATCCCTCTCAGCAGTGTCTCGTTACCACTGCCGACGACGGTGTCTCCAGAATGTGGGACATCTGCGAGAATTGTATTTTACGGGAGCTCCAGTGTAGCAACTCCCAGTTGACCGGATGCAGCTTTCTTGGGGATGGAGATTTGTATGAGTTGTTGTTGGTAGTTTCGTGCCTTAACACTGGTGCATGTGTCTGGGACGTACGCCGTCCTCAGTGTGTTCACACCATGGAGGTCTCTAGCGGAGTTGCGTGCGTCACTTGCAATCCAGACGCCCACCTCATCTGCGCCGGCAGGCTGGATGGCGCGATCGACCTGTGGGACACGCGGATGTGGAAGGAGCAGCGTACGCTCGAGACACGGCAGCTTGCGGGTCCCAAGGCCAGGCCGCGCAGTCTGGCCTTTTCGCCAGAGGGGGCTCTCCTGGCCGCTGGCTGCCTCGACGGCGAGCTGCTCGTCTTCGACGTCACCCGCCAGCAGCGTGCGTTCAAGGTGCTGCACCACTCCGACGCGGTATGCTCCCTCAGCTGGGGCGGCCCGGTCGCCTGGGCTGGCGCGCCTGGCTTCCTGGCCTGCGGCTCCCTCGACGGGAGCTGGTCCTGCTGGGCTCACAGGTGCGCCCGCGCGCCCCCGTGAGCGGCGCCGAGCCCTGGAGCCTTGGCGCAGGTGCTGCGCTGCCCCGGGGTCAGCCTCTGGCTCCAGGCCTCCTAGATGGGCCCAAGCAGACGGGGTCGGAGGATCGCGCCGCATCGCTGCTGCATCGGCGGCTCGCTGTGGAGCCCGCTCTTTTCTCCACGCTGGCGTCGCCGCTGGCGTCGCCGAGGCGTCGCCGAGGCGTCGCCGGTGCAGGGCCGATGCGTCGGCGACGCGGCGCGATCCTCCGAGCACCCCTCATTCCCGGAGCCCGCCCAGGGGGCCTTTGTGTGCGAGCGGTGCCGAGCGGGGCCCTCGGCAGCGGGTGCTGCGCCGCCCGAGGGGCCACCCGCGGGCGCGGCGGGGCTCTCCGAGGGGGGCCACCCGCGGCCCCCGCGGCGGGAGGGGCGGCGGGTGCGGGCGGGCTCGCGGGCGCTGCAAGGCCCGCGGGCTCGCGGGCCGCCCGGCGCGAGGCGCGCAGCCCGAGGGGACGCAGATGCAGAGGCTCGTTCCAGGGGGCCTTCCCGGGGCCCACCTGCCAGATCCGCTCGACCCCAGCTCGACTCAAGCTCGGCTCAGGCTCGACTCAGGCTCGACTCAGGTTCGACTCAGGTTCGACTCAGGTTCGACTCGGGGTCGACTCAAGTTTGGCTCAGGGTCGACTCGGGGTCGACTCAAGTCGACGGACGTTCGACGCAGCTTCGACGCAAGGTTGGAGCGATCATCTCTAGGGTAACAAAAAGTGACATAAACATAAGAACTCGGAGATCCGCGCGGATTTCTCGGATCGGCGCTGGACCCCCCTCGCTGGCGCGCGGAGCGCGCCAGGGGCGGCGCCGGAGGCGCCGCCGGGGGGCCCCAGCGCCGATCCGAGAAATCCGCGCGGACCTCCGAGTTTTTATGTCTATGCCACTTGTTGTTCCCATACTCTCCAGGAAGGTCCCCAGAATGGGCATCCGACGCAGGCGTTTCCGTCGGCGCGGCTCGCGTTCTTCTCTTGCTGGGGGGGGGCCTCCCGGTGGGCCCTCGTCGCCGAGCCTGGGCGGAGCTCGAGCAGCGGTCCAGGGTGAGGTGCGGAGAGGGGTCCAGTGGGTGTATTCTTAGGTCGGGCATGTCCTCCTACAGGCGGATTTTGGACGGGACGTAGAACATGTCCAGAAACATGCTGAAACATAATCAAACATAGTAGAACGATCGTTCCCACATTTTCAAAAGAAAACAAAGCATTATTATTCAATGTTCCTCCTGTAGAGGGACATGGCCGACTTAAACTTATTCTGAACGTGTCCTAGTCGAAGCCAGTTCGGGTCACTCGCAGAGTCACGAAGGGGCCAGTCCGAAGGCGCCTCATTCTTCCGGGTGAGCGCACGCGAGCGCAGATATACCCGCGCGTCGGGCATCGGGCTGCGAGAAGCGCAGCGTTGGAAGGCCTGGGATGGGGAGGATGGGGAGAAGAGGAGGATGACCATCATAAGGACGAAGGAATGGCCAGGTATCGAGTCCTCGGTAGGGGGCGTTTCTGGATCTTGGAGATTGGAGCAACGGCCATGTTCACGCAGGGCGAAGGCCAAGATGGCCGAGCGAGGAGGAGGCCACAGGCGTGGGGTCGACATCGAGAGCAGGAGGAGCGCGCGCTAAGGGCAGACCCTTCACCGCCGTCCTCTCCGCCTGCGTCGCCGTGTCCGCCTCCCTTGGGGTATTGTTTTTTCGGCAGCGTCCAGAGGGCTAGCCACGAAAGTCCAGGTGTCCTTTCGGACAGCGCTGCTCGCCCGTGGAGCCGTGGAGCGCATCGTGCCCTCTGCGATCGTTCGCGCCCTCGATCGATCGACGGTTTGGAGAACCGCTGTAGCGCACTGCATGTCATAGGTCTGGGGGGGGGTTCACCCGATCATGTCCTGGAGGGCGTCCGGCGTGGGGTGTCTGATTGAGGAGGACCAGTTTGGACATGGCTCTCACGGAAGCGTGGTAGGTTGGCGGAGGGAAGAGCTTTACCGTCCAGGCGGGAATCCGCCTTTCAAGCGGAGGCCGCGAATGGGAAGATGATGAGGATGAGGAGGAGGAGGAGGAGGAAGGCAGTATCAGTGTAATGATGATGAGGAGCAGGAGGACGAGGAGGGAGATGAGAAGGAAGAGGATGATGATGATGATGATGATGATGATGATGATGATGATGATGATGATGATGATGATGATGATGATGCTGATGATGCTGATGATGCTGATGATGATGATGATGATGATGATGATGGTGGTGGTGGTGGTGGTGGTGGTGGTGATGATGGTGATGATGATGATGCTGATGATGATGATGCAGATGATGATGATGATGATGATGATGCTGCTGATGATGATGCTGCTGATGATGATGATGATGATGAGGAGGAGGAGGAGGAGGAGGAGGAACAGGAGAAAGATGATGAGGAGGAGGAGGAACACGAGGAGAAGGAGGAGGAGGAGGAGGGATAGCATGAGGAAGACTGGAAGGAGGAGTAGGGGTGGGATGCGCAGCAGGATGGGGAGGACGAGGAGGAGGAGGATAATGAGGAAGGGGAGAACTTACGAGAGATTGCCGAGGAGGAGCAGGAGGAGCCATGTTGTTTGGATCGAGCGAGAGAGCACTCGCCGGGGAGCCCGAGCGCCCGCGCCTGGAGCTCAGCGGGGCGCGCCCAGCCTCGAGCGGCCCCTCCCCCTCCCCCTCCTCCTCCTCCTCGCTCCTCCTCCTCCTCCTCCTCGTCCTCCTCCTCGTCCTCCTCCTCATGGGCGGCCTCGACGGCCCCAGCCTCGAGCTTACCCGTCTCCGCCTCCCGCTGTCCTTCCGCTGCTGCAGGGCACGCTGTGCACAGGCGAGGTTGACCAGTGGGGCGACCCTGCCAAATCCAGGATGTAACCTCATGATGTGTCATCCTACCTTAGCTTGGATCGCCAGAAGCAGAAATTCGGGCACCAGGAGAGTACCCAAACAGGAGGGTTGTCGCGTGTTGGGCCCTGCGAGGCGATACTCGTTCGACACTGTTTCCACACTTTCCTGGGTGCCTGAATTATTTCTGGGATGTGGTCCTTAAGTACGATGGGCGCAGCATGAGGTTACCCCTGGCGTCCTGTGTCCCGCGACCCATGCCTGCTGCGTGTTCCTGGGGCAGTGTGGCCCTTGGAAGGGTCGTGTGCCCTTTGGCGTGTCCTCTTCAATCGACCCAGACTGTATTCTCTGCCTGGCATGCAGTTGCAGTGGCTGCTGCAGTGCATGCGGTGCAGCGCAGCATTTGGTCGCAGGGAGTGTGCTTTCGCTTCCTCGGGAGGCGCCCGTTTCCAGGGTGCGCTCCCGCGGGAGCCGCCGCGCAGGCTGGCACCGGGTGAGCCGCGGGGTTGGGGGAGCCTGGGGAGAGAGGAGTTGGAGATCGAGGCACGAGGACGCTCAACGGTCTCGGTGTTCTTCGGCTCCCTGGAGGCCTCCGGGGCTCTCCAGGACCTCCGTGGGACCTTCGGGGGGCCCTTTCCTTCTCCCCTGCTCCCTCTTGCCCCATGTCCCGGTGCCCCTTTCCACCTCTCTCCTTCTCCACCATCCTCCACGCGTTGTGCCCACCGTTCTTTCCTTCACCCCTTCTCTCCTTTCTCTCCTTGCTCGCTTTTCCCGTGTCTGCCTTTTTCCCACTTGCCGCCTTTACCCGCTTTCTCTTTGTCCCCCCTGGCTCTTTCCCCTTTCCGCTTTCCCCTAGGCTCAAGGCTCAAGCTTCAAGCAGTCAGCAAGCCTTCCCTTCATTCATCGCATCTGTGCCATGGCGTTGGGCCAAAAGGCAATGGATGAAACGTCCAGCAGCAAAGATGTGTGCTGGGAAAGGTGACGGCAATATAGACCATATTCGCGACGAGAACGCAGAAAGTTCGCAGAAGTAATCGTTGAACAGCTTGGCGCGGTGTCGAATGACCAGTTGGATAGAATCCGCTGGCTGGGTGGAATCGAGTCGCACACTTTGCGCGTAGAAATGCAAGCCAATGAATATTGTCAGCACCCTGTCCCAATGGAGCCTATCGTAGTAATGCAAGGGACAACTTGGTATGTTGAGGTACTTAAACTTGAGTGCGTCGAGAATGTTGCCGAAGTTCCCAAGGTCGTTCTTGTGGAACAGATTGCAGAGCATACAGTTGCCATGGCAAGCGTTCGAGATAATGCCCGCAGAGGTGAAATCGGTCGAGACGGTGCCCCTTCTTGTGAGGCGAGTCGCGTATCTAGTGAAGATGAAGCGATCAAGGAAGCGGAGGCTACAATGTACGGACGAACCCCGAGTATTCATACACAAATCGGTTTGTTCATCGATGTGAACGACGAAACAAGTTACATAGATCTGGTGCTGGGTACGTTTGGGAAACAACTCGTGGAAGGCAAATCGACATTTCCCAATACAAGCCACAACTAGTTATCGAGGGATGAAGTGGAGTAGGGTTATGAGTTCTTGCATCGATATTGTCTTTGGCGGAGAGTATGCCACAAGTATCACCGTGGGACTGGAGACCCGCTCAGCAAAGCAGACGAGCTTTTGGAACATGATGTACGCATTGCACGAACTATGGCCGAGGTAAATGGTACCACGCAAACGTATGTGAGGCAAACGCGCCCCTTCTTGTTATGGCGCTGCATGCTCAAACTTGTGGGAAGGATTGTATCAGTGGTGCCAACAGTACACACTTGAGGTCGTAAGCGACCGTGTACTACGACATCTGGGTTTTGGCGTTCCAGCGCCCCCGCCGAGGTCTTAGAGGGCCTCCCCCTGGGGCGCTCATCGGCGCCTGCCTGCCTGTCTGCCTGCCCTCTCCCCCTCCCCCTGTTTTCTCTTATACAACCTGCATGGTGATATAGTTCCTTTGTTTCTGGCCTGACCGCATTTTGTATTCCATCCCCCATTCCCTCGTATGTTCTTGTAATCGAGAACGTTGGCGGCGCATCGCCGGCCGCTTCCTGGAAGTTTTGGCGAAGTGGCGTGCAGTATCGAGAGTCGTGATGTAGCAGTCGTGCCAGCTGGCCTTACCTGCTGAACGTTTCTCTAGAGTCTTGCATATGACTTCGGTCAATCACTGCCGCCATCGGTTTTTTAATGACACGCCTAAGTGGCTAAACGTTTGGGCCAAACTTGGCCACGATATTGGACAATGCGCTCCCCCACCCGTTTGGAAGCCCTTCGGGGAACACGTGGAGGAGGAAGAAGAGGATGAAATAGAGAGAGGAAACAGGAAAATGAGGAAAAGGATGAGGAAACCTCTTGGGAGTTTTTTGGGTCATTCTTGGGACCCCCGGGAGCTTCCTGAGGGCCTCTTGGAAACAGCTTGGGGGCCTCTTTGGGTCTCTTGAGCGCCTTTTGGGGCTTCTTGGGGGCCTCCTTGGCCGTCTTCCGGCGCTCCTGGCCTGTCAGACGCCGTCGGAAACCGCTTTGGAAACCTCTGGGCCGTGTCAGGGTCTTCTTGTGGAGCTTCAGGCTCGCCTTGAAGGCCATTTTGGGCGTCTTGGAGGCCTCTTGGGCCGTCTTTGGGCCCTTTGGGGGCCGTCATGGGAGCCTCTCGGGCCGTCCTGGGGCCATCTTGGATGCCTCTCGGGCGATCCTCGGGCGATCTTGGGGGCTACTTGGGCCGTCTTGGGCCGTCGGAGGGCAGTTTTGAAGCAAACGCCCAAACGGAAAATCTATGATTTTGACTTCTTCAGGCCTTCTGGAGGACCTTGAAGGCCTCTTGGGCCACTCTTGGGGCATGTTGGGTCGAGTTGGGCCCTTCTGGAGGCCATCTTATTAGGCTGTCTTGAGTGCATCTTGGGCCGTTGTTTAGGCATTTGGCTGCAATCTTGGGTCTTCTTGGGGCCATCTTGGCCGTCTCAGACGCCGTTTTGGTCGTCTTAGAGGCCATCTTGGGCCATCTGGGCCGTGTTGGAGGCGGTTTGGCCAACGACGTGTGGATTTTTCCGGACTTTCCAGGTGGCCGGCGGGCGGGGCCGAGACCCCACGCGGGGAGTTCTTCACAAACGAACCAACACCGCAGATGTCTGACACGCCGTGCAGCCCTGCGGTAAGCCACAGGGGGCGGCGGATCGAAGGCGCCTACGGCGAATCTACGGGGCCACGTGCGAACCCTACCCCTACCCCCCACGATTTCTGAGGGGGAGGGTGGGGTTCACTTCGCTCGGGAGCTCCCAAACGAAGTGAACCCCACCTTCCCCCTCAGAAATCGTGGGGGGTAGGGGTAGGGTTCGCACGTGGCCCCCTAGAATCACCGCCGCCCCCTGCATTTTTGGAAGCGCCTATGTGGCCGAACGTTGAGGCCAGACCTGCCAAGCTATCGGACCATGTGTTCCCCGAATCGGTTTGGAAAGCCTTCGGGGAACACGTGGGCATCTTGAAGGTCATCTTGGCCGTCTGGAGGCCATTTTGACCCTTTCGGGCCTTCTTGGAGGACGTCTTGGAGGGCTCTTGGGCCGTCTTGGAGGTCATCTTGAGCGTCTTGGAGGCCTCTTGGGCCGTCTTGGGGGCCTCTTGGAGCCGTCTTGGGTCTCTTGGGTGATCTTTAGGGCCCCTTGGGCCGTCTCGGGCAGTCCGAAGGCCGAAAAAAAGCAAATGCCACAATCCTTCAAAAACTTATGGGAAATCACTGATTTTGGCCTTTTCGGTCTTTCCTGGAGGCCTTCTTGGAGGCCTCTTGGGCCGTCTTGGGCCATCTTAGGGCCATCTTCGGCTGTTGGTGGGATCCTGGCCCGTCCGACGCCGTCGGAAGCCGTTTGGGGGGCCTCTCTGGGCCGACTTGGGGCCCTCTTGGAATGCTCGAGGGCTGTCTCAGAGGCCATCTTGGGCGTCTTAAAAGCCTACTGGGCCGTCTTGGGGGCCTCTTGGGGCCGTCTTGGGGGTCTCTTGGGCCGTTCTGGGGCCATCTTGGAGGCCTCTTGGGCGATCTTTGGGTGATCTTTGTTAGCTCTTGGGCCGTCTAGGGTCGTCGCAAGGCAGAAAAAAGGCAAATGTCAAAATCCTTCACAAACCATAGAAATATCAGTGTTTTTGGCCTTTTCGTGCTTTCCTGGAGGCCCTCTTGGAGGCCTCTTGGGTCGTCTTGGACCAGCTTCGAGCCAACTTCGGCCATGTTGGTGGGCTCCTGGCCTGTCTGACGCCGTCGGAAGCCGTTTGGGGGGCCTCTGTGGGCCGACTTGGGGCCCTCTTGGGGTGCTCCAGGGCCGTCGTAGAGGCCCTCTTGGGGCCGTCTTGGGGGCCTCTTGGGGCCGTCTTTGGGGCCTCTTGGGCAGTCCTGAGGCCATCTTGGAGGCCTCTTGGGCGCTGTGGGGGCGATCTTGGGGGGCCTCTTGGGTCGTCTTGGGTCGTCGGAACGCTGAAAAGGAGCAAGTACGAAGAACTGTTAAAAAACCTTCGGAACATTAATGATTTTAGCCTCTTCGGGCCCTCCTGGAGGACCTCTCGGGGGCCTCTTGGGCCGTCTTGGAGGCCTCTTGGGCCTCTTGGGCCGTCTTGGGCCGTCTTAAAGGTTTCTTGGGCGGGCTTGGAGGCATCTCCTCCTCTCCTGGGCCGTCTTGGAGGCCATCTTGGACCATCTTGGAGGCCATCTTGGGCCAACATGGCCATCATGGAGGCTATCTCGAGCTGTCTTAGAGGAGAAATGGTGCAATTGGGCACCCTTCCGGGTGGCCGGCGGGACGCGCCGGAGGCTCAGGAGGAGTTCTTTTGGAAAAAACCAAAACCAAATCCGAAAGGGTCTAGCACGCCAGGCACCCTTGTGATGAATCGACAGGGGGCGGCGGATCGAAGACGCCTACGGCGAATCACCGCCGCCCCCTGCCTTTGTGGAAGCGCCTATGTGTCCGACAGCTGGGCTAGAGCTTGGCCAAGCTATCGGACCATGTGTTCCCCGAGTCGGTTTGGAAAGGTTTCGGGGAACGCGGGGGGAGGAAGGGGAGGAGGAGGAGAAGGAGGAAAAAGAAATCGAAACGAAAACGGACCACGACATCACTGTGGACGTCCGGCCCGTGCACGGACACCTGAATGAGACCGGCAGAGCGGCTGCCCACGGGCTTCATTGGCCCGGCGGCCGCCCCGAGTCGGCTGCACGCAGGAGTGGCCCTGCGCGGGCTCCGAAGAGTCGCGGCCCAATGGCGGTAGCAGAATGGCAAACTAGATTATAGTTCGCCTTTTTGTGGGCGACTATATGCCGCCACGCTGGTTCCGGGCAGGCTGTGCTGCCCGGCGGAAGGGGACGAGGAGGGGAGAAGCAGGCAGACGACGACGAACGCCCAGGCGGGAGGCCAGGGCCGGCGGGGCGGGCGGGCAGGCAGAAGACGGGCCAGGCGGAGACAGCAGGCAGGG